GATGTATATTCTATTTTTGCTAGAATTATCAGTGCAYTACTGGATATCTCGGTTAAAATCTAAACTCTTGATTGTACATGTGAGCGATACCGTCGTACTGTCCTATCCTGGAAGGCGAAACACGTTAAYATGTCAATTTTGGAGRGAATGCGAGAAAKTTTCTTCGAGAAACGTCAAAATTTTCGAGAGCAGTTTACCAAACGTAAATGTTAGAAAAGAAACTATTGAGATCGTTTTTTGAAAACTGTATCCATAAACCACTTGTTAAGTCCACAATACAAGTGACCAGCAAAGCTTCTTCATGGGATGCAATATATATTTCTAATTTGTCTTTTCAGTGTTACTGTTCAAGCTGTGCCTGGAGTTGCCATGTCGATATTTAGACAAGAAGTTGGCATGTGCACCGTAGAACAGGGATGCGACCCCATTGTAGCTTGTAGTTCGATCAATTCATCTAGCATCGACCTTAAGTCTTGTAAAGTACATTGCTGTAAAGGAGATAACTGTAACAGGCCAACAATAACATCAGGTATGTAACACTTTTAATCTCATTAAATTTACAAGATATTGACAAAATGTATACAATTTACAAACTTTGTTAAAGGACATTTTGTCTGTAAATTGAATTAACAGGATATTTACATATTAGTATACACACAACTATGGTCTATCAGAATCCCAGCATTCTGATTGGTCACTTACTCTGGTATATTCATGATATACCATGGTAGCATTGAATGAAGCGAAAATAATCGAAAATGTTCCTCCTCTCTCCTTGGTCGAAAGTCGACCACGTGACTATATCTGCCACTGCACACATAACCTACAGATCAGAAAGGTATATAAACTTCTGCAATTCTTTTTCATGTTCAGATCCTTGTGACAACGTCACGTGTCCTTTCTATGGCATGTGTAAAACCGACATGAGCGGCAACACGACTTGTGAATGTCCAACCGTTTGCACCATGGACTACACGCCAGTCTGTGGATCGGACGGAGTAACGTACGGTAATTTGTGCGGAATGAAAGCTGCTGCTTGTGCTAGTGAGCAAATGATTACCGTGAAACATAATGGAGAATGTAAGAAAGGTAAGAAATACACCAGACTGCAAAATCAATTACAACTACAATTGCGTTTTGCTTCTCATTGATCTACAATCTTTTGCAAAATTCACTGTCTATGATTTCATGTGTTCCCACAATCACCCCTCTCCTTTCACAATGTTGTTCGTCAATGAAATGCTACAAAATCGACAAGGAAGCGAAAGGAACGTGTGAACAACCTTGCAGTGGGGAAAGGGGGAGGGTGTTCCGTTTATTTTGCATACGATTGTAGTATCTATAGCGTTAGCGTTAAAATCAATACTGTATTAATATCTCCAGAGATATAACAATATGTTAGAGGAGAGAGTTTTAAACGCGGCGCAAAAGGATTTATGATCTTAGAGAACGGTTATCATTGGAGGATTGCGTGATAGCGTACATGTTCTACAACTACCAGAAAGCTTTGTGCATCTTCATTCTGCTTCCGATTTTAAATCACTTTAGAGATAGAAAAACAATTGAAACTACTAACACATTCTAAAGGAAAGTGAGCAATGCATTTTGGTAATTGTAAGTGATTGACACCATAATAGCAATGCGACTCCATTTTGTACAACAAAGCATGATGGGAGTCGTTGTGTTCCTCTCATGTTTTATTGTCCCTAAAACTAGTTACTATGTCTTCCGTGCAAACGGCACTAAAAAAACGTTTTTTCATGACTTAGGAGGATTTATTGATGTTGTCCAAAGTTGCGCTCTCACAAATAACTGCGTATGTTTTCGAAAACCTCTTAACAACCGTTAAAACGTTTTTCGATTATGATAAATTTGCTTCTAGTGAGCAAGTGTCCAAAACCATGGAAAGGAAAAGATGGAATTTGTGACCGACGCGGGGACATGTGCCGCAGTAACGCTAGCTGTAATTTTGGACAAAT